ACGACAGATAAAGATGAAATTGAATCAATAGCTATTGATCATTATAGTAATATAGGTAAAGTAGATAAGTCACCATTGGCATATGACCCATCTATACCCTTGAGAGAAGAATGGAGCTCTGTTTACGAACCTATATCAGGTATTCCTGATGACGCTTAAAAACGTTTAAATGATTTGATTACTTTGGAAGAGTTACAATCAGTTATTAAAGATCTTCCAACATCAAAAGCCGCTGGACCTAATAAGATTTCTTATGAAATCATTAAACAATTACCATTACAACTTCTCAATTTTCTATTATCTCTTTTCAATTATATTTTAATTAATGAAGTAATTCCTGATCAATTTAAATTAGCTTTTTTGTATCCCATCCCCAAACCCACATGGTGGAATTATGATATTAATCATACACGCCCTATAATATTACTAGATTGTTTCAGAAAACTCCTGGTCAAAATTATTAATTCTCGACTTAATTATTATTTGAGTACTAATAACATACTTCAATATAATAATCAAGCTGGCGTACAAGGAGCATCATGTAATGAGATAATCCTATATATTCAAACTATAATTGAAGATCAACAACAAAATGGAAATCCTTTATATCTGTTACTACAGGATCTCAGCAAGGCATATGATAGAATAAATTTACCTTTACTTTCCTTGGCGTTAAAAAGGATTAATTTTCCTTCTAATCTCATTAAATTTATAGAAAATTTATTTATAGGCCACAAAAATCGTATCATTTTAATGGACACTCTTTCAGATCCATATGAAACTAAACAGGGCATCATTCAAGGAGAAATAATTTCACCACTCTTATGGATAATATATTATGATCCAATGTTCGCCAAAATCAATTCGTCTCATCATTCTGGTTATCATCTTAAAGCATCTTTACCAATGAATATTCACCGATTAGATGATCATCACGAAGAAAATATTGAAGTAAAATTAATAGGCTATTTAGATGATACTACATGGTTTTCTGATACGCTTAAAAATTTAGAAGAAAATTTGAAAATAGCAGATGATTTCTACTCGCTCGCGAATATCAAGATCAATAAAGAAAAAACAAAATTATTAACCAACGATGAAAAACTCCTGAATGAACCGAACCACAGATATAATTTACAATTTGGTTATGATCTCATTGAGATTGAGATTATTCCAAAAAGAAAAGACGAGCGCATTTTAGGCATCTACGTTAATATAGCTAATTCACCATCATTTACGTATAACAAAATCAAAAAATGTTACATTATATTTGTTTTAAACTTCGTAAGAAAAAAATCACGCATGATCACGTGATGTATATTATTAATAAGGTACTACTACCGAGGATAGAATATTTAACGCAACACATCTTTATCGAACCAAACAAATGTAATGAATTCAATAGAATTTTACGTTCAATTTTTAAACACTCCTTATCATTACCAAAATCCTTTTTTAATTCGGTGGTACATAACCCGATATACCCCAATATTTTTAATATTTGGGATTCACAGTTGCGTTCCCAAGCATCCTTATTAAATGCACAAATCAATAATCCAGTCACATTAAAAATCATAGAATTCCTTTTTTTAACATCACAATGTAAACTTTGGACAAATGATATAAGTGAAACAACTAAATATTTTCACAAACCTTCTAAACATTTTAACCGTTTAGAAAATCTATTGTGTATTTTTCATTTCTACAATTTATCATTTAATACAAATTTTAAATATAATGTCACTGGTGGTTTACATCCAATTAGTTATTTTATTGTCGACCCCAAAAAATATTTTGGTTTTGTTAAGTCACTAAAAAACAAAAATATCTTTTTTTTGGATCAAATAATTAGTAATGATGGTGCTTTTCTAAAAACTTGGAAAGATATCAATAAATTATTAAAAAACAAGTGAGGACGCCGACCTAAATGGTATGATTTTCTCAAAGATAATATTGTATTAAATCCTTCAACAAATCGTTTACAGTTCACGACACAACCTGATAACATGTCACCCGACCTTGGATTTCCAAGACCAAAGATAATTAAATGTAATAATCATAGCTTTCCTTGTAAAAATCAATGGGCTGCTTTTTGGTCGCCACGAGTTTCATGTATAGTTTATGGAAAAATATTGGAAAAATCACATTTTCCTGGAGATTCACCAAAGGTTTATTTAGAACATCATATCCCTTTTGTTGATATGTCTAATCCCAACCATAATTTAACCCCTCATTCCAGATCTAATTTACTTACGCCCTGTACTGGTTGTGATCTTCATGATTCATTTTACGTTGGTGACGTTCGTCCTAAATGTATTATTAGTTATTTATCTAATTTTACAATCACTTTACATGTTAATATATACAAAAAAGATAATAATCGATTTAATAATATTTTTATCGTACACAAGTCTGACAGTGAATTACGTGCAGACACCTTTAGAGATTTTAAAATTAGAACAGATCCTTCATTTAGAAATAGAGTTATTACTTTACAATCTAATACCCCTTGTTCATACATTCCTTCTAACGTTAATCATAGATTAGTAAATGGTTTATTATTACCTAATGATATTTTTAATGAATTTTATATTTTAATTAATAATTTAGCTTCTTTCACTAATTTAGAATTCTATACCTGTCTCTTATACACATCTAGATGTGTATAAGAGACAGATTCTATACTGATGGTTCTTTAAAAATTGATGATGATAATCCTCGTATGGGTTTTGGATGGGTATTTACTTCGAATATTAATTTAAATATAGAATTTTCGGGTGCAACTATACAATGGCCCAGTTCTACTAGAGCAGAAATTATGGCAGTATTGACATGCCTTATAGTTTGTCCGCCTAATAGTTTAATTAATATTTTTACAGATAGTCAATGCACGATCGATACTTTTACATCATTATCGAATTATAAATTAACACCAAGACGAAAACAAAAGATCAATAACATTATTCTCTGGCAGGCTATTCAACAAATTATAGCTGAGTTAAATTTACAGGTACGATTCACTAAAGTAAAGGCACATTCAGGAGTTGAATATAACGATAAAGCCGACATATTAGCCAAAGATGGATGTGATTCTAATAGGATAATTTCAATCTCACCAAAAGGTGTTAAGGCACAAAAAGGTTATGTCATGTTTAACAACGATATTATTATTGATCGTAATATTAGGAAAACATTAAAGATACCGATTAATTTCCGTAACATCGAACGTCAAATTTCTCTCAAACCTTTACAAACCCTCAAATCATTCACACTTACTCATATCATCAACTGGGAGTACAGTCACCCCTCTCTACAGCGAACCTCGATATAGCGAATAACATGATATAACGGATCATACAGTGTGGTACCGATTTTAAATATGAAAAAAACCTTGATATAACGAAGTTTACTATTTATTTACCGTATAACGTCGTACCTGTCTCTTATACACATCTAGATGTGTATAAGAGACAGGAGTAAATCATTACCTTTCACCAATAATCACAGAATTAGAATCACTTTGAAAAGGCGTGATTCTTAATCGCACTTATGAATGTCCAAATGGCAAAGATATTCGAGCTGCATTAATAATTGCTTCGTGCGATATTCCTGGAGCTCAAAAATTATGCGGGCACATCTCTGCCCTTGCATCATGCCATCGATGCGAAAAAAGGGCCAATAATCGCAATTTTGGTGGTATGGCGGATATGAGCGACTGGTTTATCATGAAAGATCCAGTCGAGCATCGTCAAAAGGCTTTAGAATGGCGACGATGCAAATCTAACGCAGAAAGAGAGAGATTCGTCAAGGAGAATGG